TCTTCAGTATTATTTTTACAAATGAATACAAATGTACATGTACTTTCGTTCATAAATAAAAATGAGTTGAATTTTTTTCAAAAGTTTTTAGCCGTGTCATTGAAACATTTCCAAGTTGATCATGTGCATGTTTTGTTGACATATAACATTAAAATTTAATTAAAAAAAAAAAACTTCACCTGACGAAGAAAAAAAAATCAACAAACGGGAAACAATTTTCCTTCGTATTAAATGCTTAAATTATAAATTCCCTTTTTAGATCCAGCATGCACTCGTTTCCCATTATGTTCTTGTATTTTAATTTATTAATATAATTATTTGGTTTTAAAAAAACGCAACTACATGTATGGGTGTTTAAAAAAAAATTGTAAGGAAATTAAAATATTACCTAAAATATTACCTAATAATTAAAGTATTTTATCGTAAATATAATTAATCTATCAACATTATCATCTGATCAGGGTGGTCATGTGTGCTTACGGCGATTCGATTCGCAAGACTGCGCAGTTATTCGTATCGATAGAAGCCAAGTGTGTCGTAAAACAGCACGATGGGGGTATGTCAATGTAAACAAGTTTCACACCTTCTTTTGTTTACAAAGAATCAAAATAATCAACTGGAATATATTGAAATCAGAGGCATCAATAAATATAATTATGATGTCTCTGGTAAAAATACCGCATATTCCGACTTGAAATGTAAACATATATGTTGTCTTACGATTAAATCCTGCTGAATCATTTTCGAAGGTATAAAAGAAAGAAAATTAAAATAAACAGCCAATTTTAAATATAAATAGAGAGTTTAATAGGGTGCTTGTTTGCCCGGAACGTTTTTTACGGCCGGAACCAATCTTACGCGGGCCGGAAGTTTATTATGGCCCGGAACCAATATTATAGGTATTTAGCGTTCCGGCCGGAACGCTAAGTTACCCGGAACGTATATTATGCGACACCCTGCGTGCAAGTACATGAACCCAATATGTAGAATATATTTGTTTATTTTTTTCACAAAAACTAAGCAATTAAATATTATATATATTGAACATGTTTGAGAAGAACGGTTTACTGAGGAGCTGAAGACACCGGGCCTAAGGATCAGCGAACAAGAAAGGTCCCTCACTGCTGAGTAATGTGCCGTGAAATAGATCAAAATAATAATAAAGAAAAATAATCAAACAAATAAATAATCAACAACAACAAAATATTGGTTGACGTTTGCATAAGAATAAGTAACTTTAATTACTTCCTATAGATTTGCGCATTGGTAGTTCGTCGTGGCACGATTACAAGGATCTGATGGCACGGAACTGATGGCACGGGAGCGCAAAAGATCCCTCGTTGTTTTACAGTTTAGACGTAAATTTGTAATAATTCATTGGTAATTTTAGCATTTCCTAATTGAATTTAAAGTTCTCAAAGGGTCTTGCATGTAAAAGGAAAAAAATAATATTTTATCAAATTAAAGCCGGTGAATTGCCCGGGGCCATCAGTTTCGTGCCATCAGATCCCTGCATTATTATAATCAAACGTGCCATGACCGATTTTAGGGGATCACGGTTGAATTTCATATTTAAACACTCAAGGAAACCTTGATTGTTTTGGGGGAGGGGGGCAATCGCGCGACATTATTAAAGATGCATGAAACTTTTTGACAATATCAATAATGGGTATTGGATTTTCTTCTCTATATTTTCTTTCTTCTTTTTTTTAATCTTTTTAAAATATCATATCAAAGGAGGGGATGTCAAATATCAACATTTCTCATTGATGATAGATTGCACGAAGTTTGATTCGTAAAAAAAAAATAACTAAAATATTTTTTTTTACGTTTACAGAGATATATTATGGGACTTGTTGAAATTTGTAAGGCACTATGATAGTGCTATAAGCTAGTATTTAGACTGACAGAGTAAATAATATTTTTGAATACCCGGTATAAAAAATGTAAGCGCGAGTAACAGAGAAAAATATATCAGTAATCATCGTTTTAACACTGACTTTTATTCTGTTGCTAGAAAATATTTATAATTTCTGTCAAAAGTAGTTTCTATCTTAATTAGCTAATTAAAGTCAGAATGTAATGTGCATGTAATCTTAACAGTGTCTGTAACAATTATTTGATATCAAATTTTTTGAGAGTATTTTCGTTAGGTTAAAAAGATTTCAGAAATTGGTACATGTAGCATCGCTTGTTTACAAACAAAAGTGTGTACACACAATCGGCAGCGCCGGGAAGTACCCCGAACAGTAAGACGACAGGTGTCACTGCCGCCATGGACACTCGCGGGCTACATGTATATAAAACATGCAATATTACGCAACACTGAAGTGACACGTGGATTCGAAAATATCTTCTCTCTCTCTCTCTCTCTCTCTCTCTCTTGTGTTTCAAGTAAAGTTAATAAAAAAAAATTATAAAAAGTAATTGTTAAAATATTACAATTTATTGGTCGAAGTGAATTTAAGCTGGATCTTTCATAAATACATTTTAGAATTATTAAACTGTACTAGTATAATCTTTCTTGAAACTTTTCATTAAAACCTTTTGTTATTTAACTAAACTCAACTCTTTTATTATTTTCCTATTAATTATAGAAGAATGTTTTTGAATTGAAGGAAGTGTTGCAATGTCATCAGTGAAAGATTGCTACTTAAAATCTGAAGGTAATTCTTGAAAAAAAAATTATTAATATATGAGTCATACCTTATCAATGAAAAATTTTAATTCATTTAAGATTGATTAAGGTAGACTCAACGCAACGAAGAATGCTTTTTTTTTTACAAACAAAACTTAGTCTAAGTCCGTTTTTAACTGTAAATTCATTTTATTTACACTTATCATTTGTGCAGTTTGACATCGCTCAATTTATTTTAACTTGAGATCATGATTTATTAAGAATTCAGATTTATAGATATATACACACATAGATATGTGTGTGCATTATCAGTTCATGTGAAAAAACACAGAATTTATAAATGCCCTCGCAATTGTACATACGATGCTCAAATTGATTTTTTCAGATTATGTAAGATTAATTAGGATTGTATAACAAAAAGATCCTTTAGTAATTTATTCATAAAATAAAATACCTAGGCGAAATGGGAATTTTAGTGTTTGTGAATCTTATTACTGGGTTGATATAAAAAATTAAATGATACATATCTTTTTTAAATTTAATTTAATAATTAATGGCAATTTATGAATACTGCAAATGAAATAATACATGTTATACCCAAAAATACTTAATGCTAAATATATTTAATCTTCATCTTCATCTCCTGATTACTAAGGCGAAACGGGAATGCTAAAAACGGGAATGCTAAATTTTACAGTTAAGGCGAGATGGGAATAAACCGTATTATCTTGAAAAAAGGGGGAAAACTTTTGTTACATTTGATTGTGATTGTGTGTTTAGATACAAAAAAATGAAGAGGAAAATACATAACTATACATGATTGAAATTTATCTAGTACATAATCACTGCATTCATAATTGTATCTAAATAAGTTTAAGTCAATAGAATTAAAGCAGAGGTAAATGCTATCGGTTTTTAATTTACAAAAGAAAGAAAGCAGAAAATTTTCAGCGGATTTAAGTAAATTCAAAGAATTAAATTTCAAAATAAAGGTAACGGGGTATTTTTCGGTTTATTATATTGGTCCTCTGTACACGGAAACATAGGGAAATGAAATATTTAGTCATCTGAAAAAGATTATTGATTAAAATTTAAAAAAAAGAAGAAAGAAACCGTTTTAAAACAAAATCTTGTCTAGGCCTTTTTTTCTTTTAACGGGCGTGATATTGGAAATTTCACCTCAAAAATGCTTACACGGAAATACTTAGCATGAAAAATATAAATACAAAACAAAACTTTGTTGACAGAATTATTATTAAAAATTCAGTCATTAACTAGAATTAAGACTTTTTATTAAATTAAACTCAATTGGAAAAATGACAGTGTAAAACTGTGCAGTACAGTATTGTACAATTATGTGTACTGTGAAATACTGTGATGTACTGTAATGTACAGTATATGTGTACAGTGAATAATAGTAATGTACTGTGAAGTACAGTAATCTGTACAGGAAAAATCTGTGACGTACAGTGGAAAACAGTGACTGCGTACTAGGAAGTACTGTAGAGTACTGTGATGTACAGAGGAAATGTACTGTGAAGTACAGGGAGGTGCTGGGAAATGCTGTGATTCTGTACAGTGATGTACTGTAATGTACTGTGTTGTACAGAGGCAAGTACAGTAATTTACAGTGAAAGTACAGAGTCTATCAGAGATTTTCAGAGAATAATCAGAATATCAGGGAATTTTAAGTCCAGTAGTGTGATCTGGCCAATTTTCAAGTTATTTTTTAGCAATTCAAAGCTCAATTTCGGTAAAATATTTTCCTTTCCTGTTGCACAGGAACCGGATAAATAAAAAAAAATGTTAAAATTTCATGTGACATGTCGATAAAATTTTCACTTTTCAATTACGCCCACATTCCTGCCGAATGCCAGTCAAAAGCGCCCTCGTTCTTTTAGAAAGGACACTAAGAAAGAAATCCTTCAAACCTTTTCTCTATAGTTTGACCTTGTTAATGTTTCAAATCTGCATTGCTGCATACATGTATTAGTAGTACTTCGAATGACTGAGGCAATTAATTTGGTTAACAAATTAATTCCGTACTTGTTAACTACTTTCGCATTCAAAATCATTACGTTATTTTTTTTCAAACATTTTTTCGTGATTTAATGGTTTAACAATTGAAATTAATTTTTCCGGTTGCTTGTTATAACAAACATGTTAAGATTCCGGACTATAAATCAATTCAACTAAACGAATCGTATCAAAAACATGTAAGTCATAGTACTACCTACCAATAGATTTAATTTACAAGTGAGAGAAAGGATTGATATACATTTTCCCTACCTTACTTACCCATATTCTGATACTTACACCATGGAATTATGATAAACACTCCTTAAGATTATATGATACTTACAATTGAACTGATGGGGTGGCAAAATGGTATCCGCCGTCTCCCATATGCTTAGTTGTACAAAAACCACATAGACACTTAATACACCTAGCACCTTCATGATGTATCTATCGAATAATGAAAACAAATCTGCATACCAACTACGGTCGTGGTATGTGATACGTAAACAATGACTGCGTGTTGCATTATTAATTGTTCATATATAAATATTTAAATGAGACTATCAATTTTATTAAACAAAGTCAATCAGTTTTGACGTGTCTTAGTTTAAAGTCGAATTAAGGAGAGTAGCGGTTCAGGATCTGTAAATAGACTTGTACTCGTGTTGCTATTGTTGTCATTTAATTCTATGCCCTGTGTTAAATATCTAAATGTTATTGTCTTTTATAGGTGAAAGGAACTTCCCATTTTGGTATAGATACTCTTTTTGAGGGCATTCAATTCAAGGTAAACAATTAAGCAAAAAATAAACTAGAGGTACTGTGAGCAATGAGCTCATTAAATGATACCCCCCGCCTCCCATATGTATAAAATGGCAGTGTCTATGTTTTGCTATGGTAAACCGAAAATATGTGTGGGAAAAGGTGCACAATGGCAATATGTAAGAAACATTCTGTGAAAGTTTCATCAAATTACATTCAGTGGTATGAGAGGAGTTGCGGTTAAGAGATTGGTACCCCAAAGCGTAAAGACAGACGGACGGACGGACATACCGATTACTATATCCCCCCCCCTCCACTTTTCAAGCGGGGGTTATAATAAAATACATAAATACTAAAAATAATTTACACAAGTTTGAAGAGTTCGTTCTTGTAGTTATCGATGATATTAATTCTTTAATCAGTGTGTTTTCTATCATATAATATTTTTAGAGGGATGTATGAACTGGCTCTTTCCAGGGTCGTGTATGAACGGCTATACAACTAATAAACTAGAGGTACTGTGAGCAATGAGTTCACTAAATGATACCCCCCCCCCCCCCCGCCTTCCATATGAATATAATAGTAGTGTCCATGTTTTGTTGTGGGAAACCCAAAATATGTGTCAGATCAAAAGTAAAATAGGAGGTGCACAATGGCAATATGTAATAAAGATTCTGTGAAAGTTTCATCAAATTTCATTCAGTGGTATGAGAGGAGCTGCGGATAAGAGATTGGTACACCAAAGCGTAACAGACTGACGGACATAAAGATTACTATATACCCTCCCACTTTTCAAGCGTGGGGTATCTATACAATTAATAAAAGGACCATTTGCAGCTCTCCACTGGCAAATGGTGGCGTCTCCATATTTGACAACAAATAAACAAACAAACAATAAAAGGCTCCACCATACTTCAGTTTGTTCGTTTCATCTATTGTTATGTACATTATAGATATTTTTACATTGAGGAAATGATCATGAGTACTGACTCAGAGGTTTTTAGGTCAGAAAGCATAATTATTTAAAAGATAAGTTTGGATCTCAGATCAAATCTAATCAGAATGTCAAGGCTATACTAGTATATTATAGTAAACATTAAAAAGCTAGAGGTACTGTGAGCAATGAGTTCACTAAATGGTACCCCGCCTCCCATATGAATATAATGGGAGTGTCCATGTTTTGTTGTGGGAAACCCAAAATATGTGTCGGATCAGAAAGTAAAATAGGAGGTGCACAATGGCAATATGTAATAAAGATTCCGTGAAAGTTTCATTATATTTCACTCAGTAGTATAAGAGGAGTAGCGGATAAGAGATGGGTATCCCAAAGCGTAATAGACAGACGGACACTGACATACAGTATACCCTCCCACTTTTCAAGCGGGGGGTATAAAAACGTACACATAAAATTATACGTACTCTTCAAAAAAGAAATGCATAGTAGGAACAATACCCTGAAAAATGTAAGAAAGTTTTGTCAAGCATTTTTGTATATGGATATGATTCATTCGAGTAAAATGCGTTATTTTTGTCCCCCGCTTTCGCGAAAGCGAGGGGACATTAAATCTCATTCGTCTGTCAGTCTGTCTATCAGTCTGTCAGTCTGTCCGTCACAAAAATTTTAACCTTGCCCATAACTTTTGATTTAGTGGAGCTATGATTTCATATTTCACAAGTGTATTCCTTGTGACAAGACCTTTCTTTGGGTACCACCAAATTTGACCTTTTGACCTTGACCTTGGAGTTTGACCCACTTTTACACAAAAATTCCAAACTTTTACTTTGGCCATAACTTTTGAATAGTAGGTACTAAGACTTTCATATTTCACATATGTATTGTTTGTGGCAAAACCTTTCATTGGATAACAACAACCTTGACCTTTTGATTTTGGAGATTTACGTACTTATGAAAAAACTTTAACCTTGACCATAACTTTTGAACGGTGAAGACGAAGGCTTTCGTACTTCACATATATAATCCTTGTGAGAAGACCTTTCATTGGATACCAATAACTTTTGCCCTTTGACCTTGACCTTGGAGTTTTAATTTCATTTTAAAAACTTTATCCTTGGTTACAACTTTTAAACAGTAGATACTAGGACTTTTATATTTCACATATGTATTCCTTGTGGCAAGACATTTCATTGGATACCAACAACCTTGACATTTTGACCTTGACCTTGGAGATTTATGTACTTATGAAAAAACTTTAACCTTGACCATAACTTTTGAACGGTGAAGACTAGGGCTTTTGTACTTCACATATGTGATCCTTTTGAGAAGACCTTTCATTGGATACCAATAACTTTTACCCTTTAACCTTGACCCTTGGAGTTTTAACTACTTTTTAAAAATACTTAAACTTTGGTCACAACTTTTGAACGGTAGATACTAGGACTTTTATATTTTACATATGTATTCTTTGTGGCAAGTCCTTTCATTGGATATCAACAACTTTGACCTTTTGACCTTGACCTTAAAGATTTATGTACTTATGAAAAAACTTTAACCTTGACCATAAATTTTAAACAGTAAGGGCTAGGGCTTTCATACTTCACATATGTAATCCTTGTGAGAAAACTTTTCATTGGATATCAACAACTTTGACCCTTTGATCTTGACCTTGGAGTTGACCTACTTTCAAAAAACTTTTTACTTTGGCCATAACTTTTTAACGGTCAGGATTAGGGTTTTCATCCTTCAAAAAAATCAACTTCAGAGTTACTTTCTAAATAAATGACATATGATAGGATGTTCATATTACACACAATGTGTCATAAAAATAACATCTCACCCACAAAGACACCGAAAGCGGGGGACCACAATTCTTTGAATTTGCTTGTTTTTATATTGTTTTCTCTTTCTCAAAATCCAGGACTATGGATTTAATGTTATTCTATATATCATTGTATGCATGCTTTTTCAGGTACTGTTCAATCAAATGTAGACAAGCATTGATTAAAATTTTGCTCTCTATGTTTATTGTCCCCCGCTTTCGCGAAAGCGAGGGGACATTAAATCTCATTCGTCTGTCCGTCTGTCCGTCAGTCTGTCAGTCTGTAAGTCTGTCAGTCTGTCCGTCACAAAACTTTAACCTTGCCCATAACTTTTGATTTAATGGAGCTATGACTTTCATATTACACATGTGTATTCCTTGTGTCAAGACCTTTCTTTGGGTACCAACAAATTTGACCTTTTGACCTTGACCTTGGAGTTTAACCCACTTTTACACAAAAATTCCAAACTTTTACTTTGGCCATAACTTTTACATGGTTGGTACTAGGACTTTCATATTTCACATATGTATTTTTTGTGGCAAGATCTTTCATTGGATACCAACAACCTTGACCTTTTGACCTTGACCATGGAGTTTCACGTACTTATGAAAAAAATTTAACCTTGACCATAACTTTTGAACGGTGAGAGCTAGGGCTTTCGTACTTCATATATGTAATCCTTGTGAAAAAGACCTTCCATTGGACACCAACAACTTTTACACTTTGACCTTGACCTTGGAGTTTTAACTACTTTTTAAACTTTAACCATGGTCACAACTTTTAAATAGTAGATACTATGACTTTTATATTTCACATTTGTATTCTTTGTGGCAAGAGCTTTCATTGGATACCAACAACCTTTACCTTTTGACCTTGACCTTTGAGATTTACATACTTATGAATAAACTTTAACCTTGACCATAACTTTTGAACGGTGAGAGCTAGGGCTTTCGTACTTCACAAATGTAATACTTGTGAGAAGACCTTTCATTGGATACCAACAACTTTCACCCTTTGACCTTTACATTGGAGTTTTAACTACTTTTAAAAAACTTTAACTTTGGTCACAACTTTTGAACGATAGATACTAGGACGTTCATATTTCACATATATATTCTTTGTGGCAGAACTTTGGCCATAAGTTTTTAACGGTCAGGATTAGGGTTTTCATCCTTCAAAAAAATCAACTTCAATGATAATTTCTAAATAAATGACATATGATAGGGTGTTCCTATTAGACACAATGTGTCATAAAAATAACACCTCACCCACAAAGACACCGAAAGCGGGGGACCACAATTCTTTGAATTTGCTTGTTTAACGCAATTGTAAACTGCAGCTATTCTACAAATCTCACAGACAAAAGGACATGATTTTACAAAATGCTAAAAAAATCATCTCAATTCTGATTTATTGGTTTCTGATGCAATTCCTTTAGCACCATATGTAACCTATAAAACATATACCATTAACAAGGAACGCCCATTGTTTGCAAAAAATTTGCAGGCCACGTGTGACATCACCAGCACAGGATCGTTTCAAAGGATTACGTAGATTTCATGCATGTTTCAAAACGACGTCATCTACAGCATTAGCTATCCCTGAACTGCACAGAACATCTAACAAGACCCTTTGCAGCTGACTACGGAATGCTGGAATTATTGCAAGAGTACTATTCAAGCCATAGTTCTGAACCCAAAACAATTCATATATCGACTTCAAAGATGTCAGATCAACAAAGTATGACTACGGCAACATCGCTGAACATTTCGTTTAGCTACTAGTTCACGATGTTAATCGGAAAGCCTGTTATAAGTTTAAGAGTACGTAGGCTTCGTAATGAACACGATTATAGACAGTAGTTTTTATAATATGGTCGGAAAACGGCATACATAAAAGTAAGACTGTATGGTCTGGTTCATATTCAAAGGACTTTGATGGAAAAGGGCACCCTCGCGATGTTCTACCTGCAAATGCCTTTTCAATTTTGCAGCATCGAGGAGCCGTATTTTAATCCGAAAATAGACAGCCACATACAGCTCGTTTGACAATCAAGTTCTTGCAAAGCAATAGCAACCTTTTTCTGTCATAGTCATCTGAATCGCCAAATTTGAACCAAATAGAGCAAGCATTGGATTGTCATGATTTGTCAAGCTTTTAAGGACAATCGCATCCCCTG